TTTCTCATCCCCTCTCACCCCCTCCCTCACCCTTCCCTCATTCCCTTCTCACCCCTCCCTCACCCTTTCTCATTCCCCTTCTCACCCCTCCCTCCATTCCTCATTCCCTCTCACCTCACCCTTTCTCATTCCCTCCTCACCCTTTCTCATTCCCTTCTCACTCACCCTTCTCATCCCCTCCCTCACCCTTTCTCATTCCCTCCCTCACCCTTTCTCACCCCCTCCTCACCCTTTCTCATTCCCTCACCTTCTCCCTCTCACCCCCTCCCTCACCTTTCTCTCATTCCCTTCCCCTTTCTCATTCCCTTCTCACCCCCTCCCTCACCCTTTCTCACCCCCTCCTCACCCTTTCTCATTCCCTTCTCACCCCTCCCCTTTTCTCATCCCCTCTCACCCTTTTCTCACCCCTCCCTCACCCTTTCTCATTCCCCTTCTCACCCCTCCCTCACCCTTCTTCCCTTCCTCACCCCTCCCTCACCCTTCTCACCCCTCAACCCCCTCCCTCACCCTCATTCCCTCATCCCTTCTCACCCTCCCTCACCCTTTCTCATCCCTTCTCACCCCCTCCTCACCCTTCTCACCCCCACCCTCCCCCTATTCACCCTTCTCAACCCCCTCCCTCACCCTTTCTCATTCCTTCCTCATTCCCTTCTCACCCCCTCCCTCACCTTTTCTCATTCCCTCTCATTCCTTTCTCATCCCCTTCTCACTCCGTCCCTCACCCTTTCTCATTCCCTTCTCATTCCCTCAGATGGTCAAGGGCGAGGAGGGAACCGACAGCTGGATGGACATTTCGGCGCAGGACGCGGACGAATACATAGACCTCGGAGAAGACTACAACTGGACGGATGGCTTCGATACGCTCATTAATTATCTTGAGGTTAGAGAACGAGGGGAAAGAGGGGAGAGGAGAAAATGTGTGAGGGAAAGGGAGTGGGGGAAATGTTGGATGAGAAAAGGGGAATGTTTGAGGGAAAGGGAGAGGGGGAAATGTTGGAAGAGAAAAAGGGGAATGTATGAGGGTAAGGGAGAGAGGGAAATGTTGGATGAGAAAAGGGAATGTATGAGGGAAAGGGAGAGGAGAAAATGTATGAGGGAAAGGGAGAGGGGGAAATGTTGGATGAGAAAAGGGGAATGTTTGAGGGAAAGGGAGAGGGGTGAAATGTTGGATGAGAAAAGGGGAAGTGTGAGGGAAAAGGGAGAGGGGGAATGTTGGATGAGAAATGGGGAAATGTTTTGAGGAAAGGGAAAGGGTGGAATGTTTGAGGAAAGGGAGAGGAGTGAAATATTGAGGGAAAGGGAGAGGGAAATGTGAAAAGAAAAGGAGAATATTTGAGGAAAGGGAGAGGGAAATGTTGGAAGAGAAAAGGGAATATTTGAGGGAAAGGGAGAGGGGGAAATGTTGGTAGAGAAAAGGGGAATATTTGAGGGAAAGGGAGAGGGGAAATATTGGAAGTGAAAAAAATATGGGGAAAGGGAGAGGGGAAATGTTGGATGAGAAAAGGGAAATGTATGAGGGAAAGGGAGAGGGGTGAAATGTTGGATGAGAAAAGGGGAATGTGTGAGGGAAAGGAGAGGGAAATGTTGGATGAGGAATGGGGAATGTTTGAAGGGAAAGGGAAGGGTGGAATGTTGAGGGAAAGGGAGAGGAGTGAAAATATTGAGGGAAAGGAAGGGAAATGTTGGAAAAAGAAAGGAGAATATTTGAGGAAAGGGAGGAGGGAATGTTGGAAGAGAAAAGGGGAATATTTGAGGGAAAGGGAGAGGGGAAAATGTGGTAGAGAAAAGGGGAATATTTGAGGAAAGGGAGAGGGGAAAATATTGGAAGTGAAAAAAATATGAGGGAAAGGGAGAGGGGAAAATGTTGGATGAGAAAAAATGAGGGAAAGGGAAGGGGAAAATGTTGGATGAGAAAAGGGAAATGTATGAGGGAAAGGGAGAGGGGTGGAATGTTGAGGGAAAGGGAGAGGAGTGAAATATTGAGGGAAATCGAGAGGGAAATGTTGGAAGAGAAAAGGGAATATTTGAGGGAAAGGGAGAGGGGGAAATGTTGGAAGAGAAAAGGAGAATATTGAGGAAAGGGAGAGGGGGAAATGTTGGAAGAGAAAAGGGGAATATTTGAGGAAAGGAGAGGGGGAAATGTTGGAAGAGAAAAGGGAATATTTGAGAAAGGGAGAAGGGAAGAGGGGAAATATTTGAAAAGTGGATGAAAAAAATATGCGGGAAAGGAAAAGGGGGAAATGTTGGAAGAGAAAAAAATATATATATATATATATATTTGAAGGAAAGGAAAAAGCAATTAAATGTTGGAAGAGGAAAAGAGAATATTTGAAGGAAAGGGAGAGGGGGAAATGTTGGAAGAGAAAAAAAAAAGAATATTTGAAGGAAATGTTGGAAGAGGAAAAAGAGAAATATTTGAAAGGAAGGGAAGGGGGAAATGTTGGAAGAGAAAAAAAAGAATATTGAAGGAAATGTTGAAAGAGGAAAAAGAGAATATTTGAAGGAAAGGGAGAGGGGGAATGTTGGAAAGAAAAAAAAAGAAATTTGAAGGAAATGTTGGAAGAGGAAAAAGAGAATATTTGAAGGAAAGGAGAGGGGGAAATGTTGGAAGAGAAAAAAAAAAGAATATTTGAAGGAATGTTGGAAGAGGAAAAAGAGAATATTTGAAGGAAAGGGAGAGGGGAAATGTTGGAAGAGAAAAAAAAGAATATTGAAGGAAATGTTGGAAGAGGAAAAAGAGAATATTTGAAGGAAAGGGAGAGGGGAAATGTTGGAAGAGAAAAAAAAAGAATATTTGAAGGAAATGGAAGAGAAAAAAAGAGAATATTTGAAGGAAAGGGAGAGGGGGAACTGTTGGAAGAGAAAAAAAAAGAATATTTGAAGGAAATGTTGGAAGAGAAAAAAGAGAATATTTGAAGGAAAGGGAGAGGGGGAAATGTTGGAAGAGAAAAAAAAAAATATTTGAAGAAATGTTGGAAGAGAAAAAAGAGAATATTTGAAGGAAAGGGAGAGGGGAAATGTTGGAAGAGAAAAAAAAAAAAAAAAAAAAAAAAAAAAAAATATATATATATATATATATATATATATATATATATATATTTGAAGGAAAGGGAAAGCAATTAAATGTTGGAAGAGGAAAAGAGAATATTGAAGGAAAGGGAGAGGGGAAATGTTGGAAGAGAAAAAAAAATATTTGAAGGAAAGGGAGAGGGGAAATGTTGGAAGAGAAAAAAAAAAGAATATTGAAGGAAATGTTGGAAGAGAAAAAAAGAGAATATTTGAAGGAAAGGGAGAGGGGGAAATGTTGGAAGAGAAAAAAAAAAAATATATATATATATATATTATATATATAATATATATTTGAAGGAAAGGGAAAGCATTAAATGTTGGAAGAGGAAAAAGAGAATATTTGAAGGAAAGGGAGAGGGAGAAATGTTGGAAGAGAAAAAAAAGATATTTGAAGGAAATGTTGGAAGAGGAAAAGAGAATATTTGAAGGAAAGGAGAGGGGGAAATGTTGGAAGAGAAAAAAAAAGAATATTTGAAGGAAATGTTGGAAGAGGAAAAAGAGAATATTTGAAGGAAAGGGAGAGGGGGAAATGTTGGAAGAGAAAAAAAAAAAGAATATTTGAAGGAAATGGAAAGAGAAAAAGAGAATATTTGAAGAAGGGAGAGGGGGAACTGTGTGAAGAGAAAAAAAAGAATATTTGAAGGAAATGTTGGAAGAGAAAAAGAGAATATTGAAGAAAGGGAGAGGGGAAATGTTGGAAAGAGAAAAAAAAAAGAATATTTGAAGGAAATGTTGGAAGAGAAAAAAGAGAATATTTGAAGGAAAGGGAGAGGGGAAATGTTGGAAGAGAAAAAAAAAGAATATTTGAAGGAAATGTTGGAAGAGAAAAAAGAGAATATTTGAAGGAAAGGGAGAGGGGGAAATGTTTGGAAGAGAAAAAAAAAGAATATTTGAAGGAAATGTTGGAAAGAAAAAAAAGAGAATATTTGAAGGAAAGGGAGAGGGGGAAATGTTGGAAGAGAAAAAAAAAGAAATATTTGAAGGAATGTTGGAAGAGGAAAAAAGAGAAATTTGAGGGAAAGGAGAAGGGTGAAATGTTAATAGGAAAAAGGGAATGTTTTGAGGGAAAGGAAGAAGGGGAAATGTTGGAAGAGAAAAAGGGAATATATGAGAAAAAGGAGAGGGTGAAATGTTAAAAGAAAAAAAAAATATAAATATTTGAGAGGAAAGGGAGAGGGGGAAATGTTGGAAGAGAAAAAAAAGAATATTTGAAGGAAATGTTGGAAGAGAAAAAAGAGAATATTTGAGGAAAGGGAAGGGGAAAAAAATGTGAGGGAAAGGGAGAGGGGTGAAATATAGAAGAGAAAAAAAGAATATTTGAAGGAAATGTGGAAGAAAAAAATATATATATATGAGGGAAAGGGAAGAGGGGGGAAATGTTGGAAGATCAAAAAGAGAATATTTGAGGGAAAGGGAGAGGGGAAAATGTTGGAAGAGAGAAAAAAAAGAGAATATTTGAGGAAAGGGAAGGGGAAAATGTTGGAAGAGAGAAAAAAAAAGAAATATTTGAGGGAAAGGGAAAGGGGAAAATGTTGGAAGAGAGAAAAAAAAAGAATATTTGAGGGAAAGGGAGAGGGGAAAATGTTGGAAGAGAGAAAAAAAAAGAATATTTGAGGGAAAGGGAGAGGGGTGAAATGTTGGAAAATATGTTAAAATAAAATGGAATAAGAAGGAATACGTATTAAGATGTGTGGATGATACACACTTGATGAACAAAAATATAAACGGGAAGGTGTATTCTAAAATGAAATTAAACACATAGGTTATAGATTTCGCTTTCATTGTCTACTCTCTTCCAAAGCGTTACGATTTTTTCCTTATTTTTTCAACATTTTCATCATCAACAATAAATTGAATAACGAAACAAAGAAAAATAACACGAAACACTTTCATCATCAACAATAAATTGAATAACGAAACAATAAATTGGA